AAAATAAAATAAAATAAAATGCCAAAGGTTAAAGACAAAGAGAGAATCTTAAAAGCAGCAAGAGGAAAGCAGTTAGTTATCTACAAGGGAGTTCCCATAAGACTGTCAGATGGTTTCCCAACAGAAACTTTGCAGACCACAAGAGATTGGCATGAAATATTCAAAGTTATGAAAAGCAAGGACCTACAACACAGATTACTCTACCCAGCAAAACTACCATTTAGAATTGAAGGATGGATAAAAAGCTTCCCAGACAAGAAAAAGCGAAAGGAGTTCATCACCACCAAACCAATATTACAAGGAGTCTTAGAAAAACTTCTTTATAATGAAAAGAAAACAAAAAAAACAATAATATGAATAATAAAATGGCAATTATATATCTATCAACAATTACTTTCAATGTAAATGGATTAAGTGCTCCAATCAAAAGTTAAGGTGGCTGAATGGAAAAGAAAACAAGGCCTTTACATATGCTGCCTACAAGAGACTCACTTCAGATCAAAAGACATAGACAGACTGAAAGTAAAGGGATAGAAAAATATATTTCATTAAAATGAAAACAAACAAACAAACAAAAGCAAGAGCAGCAATACTTATATCAGACAAAGCAAACTTTAAAACAAAGGCAATAACAAGATACAAAGTACAACCTAGTAATCCCACTTCTGGGTATTTATCTGAAGAAACCCAAAACACTACTTTAAGGGGATTGTGTGTATTCATATGTTCATTGCAGCATTGTTTATAGTGGCCAAGAAGTGGAGGCAGCATGGGTGTCTGTCGATGGATGAATGAATAAAGAGTAGATGGTATAGATATAAAATGGAATATTGCTCGGCCATGGATGGGAATGGGTTCTTGCCACCTGTGGCAGCCATGGGTTGACATGGATGGTACTGTGCTGAATGGAGTGTCAGACTGAGAAAGATAGATCCAATATAATTTTGCTTTCATGTGGAATCTAAAGGAGAAAATAAACAAAACAGAAACAAACTTATAGATACTGAGAACATTTTGATGTTTGCCAGATGGGAGGGGGTTGGAGGTTTGTGTAAGAAGTACAAATTTGTTGTTACACAGTAGTCATGGGATGCAGGGTACAGCATAAGGAATATAGTCAATAATATTGTAATAACTATGTATGGTGTCAGATGAATACTAGATTTATCTGAGTGATAGATGGGAGGGGGATTGAGGGTTGGGTGGAAAAGGTGAAGGGATAAAGTACAAACTGGAAGTTACAAAATAGTCATGGGAATGTAAAGTAAAGCATAGAGAATACAGTCAATAATATGGTAATAACTATATAGTGCCAGATGGGCGCTAGACTAGTCAGGGGGATCACTTCTTAAATTATATAAATGTCTAACCACTATGCTGTACATTTGAAACTAATATAAAACAATATTGAATTTCAGAATAAATAAATAAATATAGTGTTAAAAAGAAAAAAAAAAAGAAGCAGGCATTTTGGTCTAAATAAACACCAAAACCAAGTATCAGAAAAGCTAAGCTTTAGCCAGGATTCATTCAACATGAACTAGATGTGTGACATGGACAAGTTATTTAATTTCTCTGAGCTTCTGTATTATTTCTAAATCATTTTTTACACTTTGTTAAATATGTTAATTATCTTCTTACAGGAAATTATTATTTTTACCCAAATTGTTTGATTTTACTTTATATTCTCTTTTCTTTCCGTTATTTTCATGGAAATTATCAGTTAATTTCACAGAAATATTATAATTGCAGAATCATTGAATAATTAGAACAGAATTTTTTAAAAGTTTCTTTCCTCCCTCCTGAAATATCTATTATAATAAACACCCATCAAATGATATTACTAAGCTTTACAGAAGTATATGAAATCAGTGAACTAAATTTTCTTACTAGAGAACTTCCATTATTTTTTTTAGATTACACAGACGCACATTTTCGCTGACAGTTGGAATTTGTTTTAGTTGCTAAGCTGTCATAATTGAGAATATTAACTTAAATAAAGCTAGAAATACAAGAAAAAGAACAAGTTGGAGAAAACAAAAAATAAATCTGTTCCTTCAAAATAATGTGATGTTTCTATGTAATAATGGAAAAAGTCAGTGAAAAGGTGCTTGAGTGAAGTTGTGTAGCTAGCTATGTGTCTATCTCTATTTAAATGCTGACAAATGAATTTGTGAATTGAAAATTATTGTTTTGATGCCTTTAAGCCTCCCTCCCTCTCTTCATTATAAATGGCTTTTGACTCTCTTTGGTGTCCTTTTTTATGCACATGCCCTTCTATCTCAGTCTTCTACTAAATGATTATGGAATTAAACCATTGGGCTATTGAGATTTAACTAGACCTTCAATGTCCCGGTTTCACGCCTTGTATGTAAATACATTTGTTTTTATTTTTAATCACTTCTTTTCATCAATTCCTTACTAGAATATACTATTTAATCCTCGGAAACCCACTCTGCTATTTCACAAAGATGGCAAATTTAAACTTCTACTCAGTGTGACACACCCTTAACTATACAGAAACAGTCTGTATTAATACTCACCAATGTGTTAATGTAATAACGACCCACTGTGTCTAAGAGTCAGTTTCTATATATAGGGTTGGAAATAATGACAGTCTCTTTCTGAGCTGCCTGATGTCAGAGCTGGGAAAGCTGGAAAGGGTATGTAAAAACTGGATTACTGGTTGGCAAGTTGGGGGTAAATACTCCAGGGGATGCTGGCTTGGGGTTCTTCATGAAGCTTTCTTGCTATCAAAAGCATTTTCTTATATTGCGGACATGGAAACATTAAAAGGTAAAGAATTTCCTGTTTCTGGGAAAGTATTACTTATTTAGGGAAGAGCAGACTTGAGATTAAATATATGGCTTATTTCAGAGAAAGACTAAAGGTAAAATGTACCATAATATCAATTTTTCAGATTGTGTAGAGAAGGAAGTTGGGAAAGTGAAAATTCTGAAAATTGTGTGAACAATATATGGGACCATATCAATAAAATGATGATTCTTGGAGGTTATGTTTTTTAAAAAGATTTTTAAAGTAGGCTCTACTTTAAAATTCCTTTCATCAGACTGAAAGAAATATCTTGACTTCAGTGCTGAATTATCTTTTTCAGAAAATTTGAGAAACAATGTGCACTTTGAAGCTGTCAGTAGTTCTCAAGCTCTCTGTTGCATCAAGCCATCTGAAAGCTACACCTGTTGAAACGTTAGTAACTTTAAAATCTTGTTTTTTGTGTAAAGTATGGGGAAATTACAATTAAATATTGCTACCTAAATAACAACCCTTGGGCCTTTAGAGTTCTGACTAAATCATCCTTAAGAACAGTACATTAAGCTGTCTTACTGTTCCTTGAATTCTATGTTCTTTTAAAGAATAATGCCAGTGGCCAATAAATGTCTCTGATAGAACTTCTGACAGACAAAAATGGATAGTTCTAGTTTTGTCAAGAAATATGCTGTTGGAACTTAAAGCAGCAAAGGCAGAGCAGGAAGCAGGAAAAACCAAAAGATTTTTATTATATTAACCTGATTCTTAAACAAATTGGAAAAACTTAAAGCATATATTTCATATCAGGTGGAATTTTTTGGTATATTTTCATAGATTATTTTTCTCAGAGGGCTCTGGAAATATCTAAAACTTTTACATCACCTTCTGGAAATTAAAATATATAGAAATAATCAGGAAGCAATTAAAATTTTTAAAAAGCTGAATTTAGAAGAACTAGTTACAAAGCCATTTACTCTTAGGCGATTCTTTCTAACTTGTTAACTGTTCTGTTAATAAAACAGAATTATTAAAAATATTATTTTTCATGAGGTTACTTTAGAGCTGCTCTAAATGTAAGTGAACACTTCCTGAAAATGTTTTCAATCGATAGCATGTGCATCAAGATTTCTGAGGAAGACTTATTTTGAAAGGTGTTATGTCATTTAAATGGTCATTTGGACGAAGTCTAAAAACTAAGTCAGATGAAAATGTTAGCAGTAATTACAACTTCTAGTGGAAAGCCTCTGAAGCTGTAATTCTCCATTTATTTAAAAGATTCTTAAGTCCAAATTTATGCATGTGTCATAAATAATATAATGAGGATTTATTTGTGCCTAAATCAGTTTTGACCCCACATGGGTTTGTGGAATGGAATTTATACACTCTATAAGACCAAGGAGAACTAAGTTTTCTTTTGCAAACAGTTTGCTTTAAGTCATATTAGAACTCTTCTCAGAATTATCAGCATCTTGTCTATTTTCCCTCGGAGTATGTTTGTTGAGGTGGAGGCGTGTGGCAATATGTAAAGATTTCTACAGCACCTGTGCACAATAAATAATAAGAATCATCAGGAGACTTTTTTTTGTCATTTCAGGGCTTATCTAATGTACAGGATCTTCTTCTCAGAATTGACTGTAATGTTCAATTGTTGGTTTTTTTCCTGGATAAAAATAACTTTAAAACTGACATGAAGTGTCTGGCAAACTAGCAGAACAATTGAAGGATGATAGGAAAATTAGCAGTATTAACTAGTATTTCTGTCTATATCTTGATCTGTTCTTTCATTTTCAATGAAAGAACAAACATTTTTCATAAAAGGTGTTTGCTAAGTGCCTTTACTCAGCATGTCTTTATGGATATTGGTTTATTATGAGGTCAACTTAACTTAGAATAGTACATACCATTATTTATTATCAAATGATTTTTATGCTAGATGCACAATCTCTTATGTCAAATTGTTATTAGAAATACTTGTAAAACATTCTTCTAATTGATTTTTATGAGTTTCCTGAAATCAGTATATTTGGTAATTTTTTTAAAGGGGATGGAGAATTTATCATCCTGAGCTGTTCAACCATGTAATGTTTTATGAATTTCATTAAAAACTGAGAAAGCCTATGTAGAAAATGTCTCAAATTTTAAACACCTTTGAAAAAAATAAAGTTGATATACATTTGTAGATAATCAGAGAGTAGCTAATAGTATAACTCCATGAGTTTTAAGCTATAGTCACTAAGAGCTACCTGAAACCTAGGTAACTTTACTAACAATTGTCGCCCAAAAAAACATGAAAAAAAAAAAAAGAGCTACCTGTAGGAACTCACACATCTCCACAGATGAATGTTAAAAGCTGGAAGCAGGACCCATTTTAAAAAGCTCTTGAAACTGAGCTGTTTTAAAAGAGAGAGAATTTAAGAGTTATAGTTTTTGGCCTATAGTCATCACCGCTTATACTCTATTAAAGTCAAGAATTGCAGTGCATGTGTGCATGTGTGTTAGTGGTCGGTAGCTTTAAACTAGTGTTTGTTACTAGCTGGTGGGCAGGCTTGACTTGTCGGCCTGGAAAGTCAATAGGGAAATGCACCTGAAAGTAGGGGTGTGATGCCCCTCGCTAACCATTTCAGCCATCTTCTGTCATATTAATGATAGATCTGAATAAAATTTTGCACATACGCACTGCTATATTTACATGAAAAGTCTTGCTTGAGAAAGCAGTTTCACAATTATGAAATCAACCAACATAAAAGCTCTTAATATTTCTTTTAAGTAGAATGATGGCCCTTCTAGCTAAGCAGTTTCATAACTATGAAATCATCCAACATAAAAGATCATAATATTTATTTTAAGTAGAATAATGGCTCTTCAAGCTAACACAAATAAGATAACAGTTTAGTTAGAGTAATTTTAAATCCTTTTACAATCCTTCAGATGAATTATAAAAGTACCACTCAGACCTTTAGCACATAGGGTATTTCACACTCACTCCAGGCATTTGTCAATCATATCTTGGGACAGATATCCCTTTGAAACTTCCCAATCTGACCCATAGTTTTCTTTATTGATTTAAATTTATTAGTTTGAACTGTGTGGGTCAAATTCCAATTCCTGGTATTTTTCAGGAAACATTAATTGACTTTTAGAATCTTTGTCCAATGTATGAATTACTGGCTCAATCCGTGAAAGCATTAAACCATTCTTTGGAAATACACATTGGCCATGCTTACTACACGTGCAAAAATTGAATAGATAGTATAAATAATATTGATATATAGACCAGGTAATTAGGCCCCAAAGTAGGTTTCCTTTACCTGAATAATTGGTTTGTCAGCATACATTTATACTCAACAGATATCCAGTTCACTTGATTCTGTAAGAATTTTCTATATTTGAAAGGAAATGACAATAAAACCCCTAAAGTGTCACAGATTTTAAAATATTTACTCTTAGGCTATTTCTACACAGAGATACAGATAATGAAGTGTTCCCCACATGAAGTAGATACAGAGAGATAAAATCCATATTGCGTTTTGCCCCAGGTTATGTATATTCACTGGCTTCTGGGCATAATCTCACACCTATGTTTCTTTCCCACTTTACACTTAACCAAAGTTTCACCAATATTTTGATATATTTGGTGCTGAAAATTAAAACATTGCCCTACCTTGCCTAATAATCAGCAAAAAAGAAAGCAATACTATTATTCTGTATCTATTTCCAATACCATTTTGAAAGCACATTGAAACAAAAAGGTGGTACAAAGATATAGAGTTGATATAAATATATTCTGTAAATAAAAACAGAAATTAACATTGAAATGAATTATTTAATGATAATTATTTCTAACTTACCTATGATATTATTATGCAATTGTTCAAGATGGTTGAAAGAATGTGGTGACTATTAATACCATTGACATAAAAAATCTTTTGGTTTTAACATTTCACTTACTCTTATCTCTAAAATTACTGAAAGCATAGGAACCAAGTAGATGGCAGGAAGATGGTAATGTTTACATATTTATGCTAAGAGTGATAGAACTCCCACACTAGTCAGAGTGCAATTACCCTTGAGATGCTATAATACTCCTGATTTAATGCTCTCAGGGAACTAACAAAAATTAAACCTATACTGCTTAATTCTTATTATAACGATGTCAGAAATGAAGATACATATTTTTAGTTTCACATTTTTCAGGTTACATAAATATTTTATATTCTAAATCTTTTTTATATATCAGAAAATAGATTTTTTTAATTAAATTTACTGGGGTGAAAATAGTTAGTAAAATTACATAGGCTTCAAGAGCACAATTCTATAATACATCATCTATATATCACATTGTGTGCTCACCACCCAAAGTCAGTTCTCCTTCCATCACCACATATTTGACCCCCTTTATTCTCTTCTACCATCCCCCATCAACAAGATTTAGAAGAATTTAAGACAAACACATATTATTATTATTATTATTATTATTATTATTATTATCATCATCATCTGGAATATAGTCTGAATTTCCAAAGAAAGGATCATGCTATGAAATTTAACATTGACTATAATGGAAGGTTTGTTACATGATCTCCTAGTGAAAAAATGATTCTGCTGCATCTTCAAGGTGTCAAAAAAAAGTCTGTCAGTCATCCTGATGATTCTAAATCAAAACACTAAGTGACTGTTGTGAAAATGATTCCTTTAGTTGTCATCAATATGAGATATATGGTGTCATATAGCTGTATCCAATCCTGCATCTAAGTTTAACCGGTCTTATTTGTTTCATGTTTCCAGTCCTCAGGTGGAAACATGGAAACGCAACACTGCCACATGTGCAACACAATTCCTGGCAAAGTTTTTAGTTTGTACCAGCAACAATTTTGGTGCCACTCTCTCATCTACCAATATGGGACCCAATACATATGGCAAGAGGAATACAGTTGAGGTTTTAAACAGAGAACCATTGAATTACTTACCCCTTTAGAAGGCAATGTATAATACTGCTACAGTTTTTACTGCTTATGTATAAATACTCTAGTGATTTCCTGTATAATTTAATGTCTTTTTTATTTCAAGCCTGAATAGTTGAGTCTGTGTGTCACATGTTTTGTTGCCAGTACCTATAAATTGTAATGTTAAAATGGTTTTAAATGTAATAGTAATTAAGACCCCATAATAAAAAGGCAATGTCTTAAAAAATGAAATGTTCTTGCTATAGATTTTTATTTTAAAAAGCCATTTATTTTGCTATATTTTTATGAGCTGAGTTTGAGAACAAAGAAGAAAATGGTAGTTGGAAACTTGGTTAATTGTAAACAACCAATAGTCAAGTTATGATTCTGAAAATTAGAAAACCAGCAATAATAAGTATCCTTGTTAAACAATCCCTTCCTGCATTAGATTTCTGAAATGAGATAAAGTCTGTTTAAAAACAAAAATAAATTAAATCCTGCTCCTGACTCAGTTGAAATATTTTAAAATTTTTTTCTTCTGTGGTGAAGTGAAAACTCTGCTGATTGAATAGGCCCACATCCAGTAGCCAGTCTGTTAAGATCTTTCCATGCGACTTCAGAGCACATTTTCATCTGCATTGCTACTGCTTCCCTTGTCTATTAACCTTCTATATATTTCATACTCACACTCACCCACCTTCATACCCTTGCCCATACAATTTGCTCACCTTGCAATATCTTCCCCTTACCCTCTGGGAGTCTATACTACATTCTTCTCAAATGCCACATTCTCTAAGAAACCTCTCAGGATCCTTCCAGCTCTCCTCTGAATTTACATAGACTGTTTTATGTCTATGTTTTATGATATCTGTATTACTCATCTGATATCAGTTTATTCAAACATTCACTCAGTCACTTAACAAATGTTTACTGAGCTCACTTTTGTATTTCATATTATCTTAGTGGTTCAGGTATCAAGACTACCTCGAGGAAGTTGATGGCTTCTGCTTCGTATTTTGGTTATACATGCACAGGTGTTATGTCCTATTCTAGCCTGAAAAGTACCTGAGGACAAGGATGTCTGAGCTATCTCTGTAATCTCCACAATAGGTAAGCCCATTACTTGCACATAACAGGTGCTAATAAATACTGTTTAAATAAATGTATTTTATGAGTAACAAACAAATAAATGAGTAAATTTTAATATAAAGTAAAGATTTAATACAGTATAATAAAGTTAATAGTGTGACATCTTGAGCTCCCTTTGTAAAACAGAAATAACAATTGTAAAGTTCTATTAAATTTATTAAAGAGTAGGAATAAAATATGCAAAGTACCTGGCACATCTTTGGTGTTTAATCAGTGGTAGATATTATAGGCCTGGTAACTGTACACAAAGGAATGGTCTGGCAAAACAGTGGGTACTTTTGTTATTAATAGTAAATAAACAGGATTTGAAGAGAGAGAGAGAGGGAGAACAAAGATAAAGGTAGGCAACAAAAGTGGGCCCTAAACAATGTGGAAAAAATTCAAAGAAACAAAAAAGGAAATAGAATAATGAAAACAATACCCAAATTCTAAATAGGACTCATGTCACTAGATACCTTTCTGTTCCAATAACCAATGATGCAAAGGCACTTGTCTTGCACAATCTCTTCAGTTACAAAGTTTTGACGGAACTATATAAGATAAAGGTAAAAAAGAATCCACTTCTCTTCCCTGTGGGAACATTTCTTTTGTTATTTAGAACAAAGGTTATGATCAATGAGAAGTGGCATACAAATCCTAAGAAAGAAATAGCAGACAATACAGAAATAGCATATCTGGTAGAGTTTATCTGGGTTGTAAGTAGATTAGAAGAAGAGTGAGAACAAATTCTAAAATTCTGAAAGGATAGAACTTCAAGGACCACAAATGTTAGCACATATATAGCAAACTACATATTAATGAATTCAATACTTTTAAAATTGAAATTATGGACAAGTGTTATAAAAAGGAAAATAATTTTATCAAAAAATTGCAGACTTAAATTTTAAAATCTCTTTATCTTCATAGGCACAATGGCCTGGTTATCCTATAAACATGTGAATACGGGGCCTATATAACAGAAATGTTGAAATTATTACTATGAGCTTACATAAAGGCTAAGCGGCTGGGGTCCCACACATGGCTATAATTGTGATAAAACAGGATTCCGGTGTGTGATAATTCATTTCCCTTTATTGAATATGTGCTTCCACTTTCAGAAAGATGGATTATCTGAACAAGCAACACAATAGGTCTTGAGCAGAACCCCTGTCCAGCATTAACCCCAATCACTTTCTAGTATATATTGAAATTCATCCTTTTGTATTTTAAGGGCCTTTTAGTTGAAGAGTTTCTCATTCAAAGACAAATCCCCCTTGAAGGGGAAATCCTTATCATTATCAATTAAAACCCTCGTTGAAGTTATTTAACAGCTAGGTAAGAATAAAACCCTAGGAGAATGTAATAGGCACCTGGAAATAAGAAAAAATGGTGAAGGGTCAGCTATAAGGAAAAGCAAAAGGAGGAACAGAGGGGGAAAGGCATAAAGGAGTCATGGTAAGCTAACAGTTTCTCTGGTTGGGCTTTGGGGCCTGCATAAATTTGGAACCATTTTCCTGCACATAGCGAGGCGTCATCAGAATTTAAAGCACCAATTCTACTCTGGTTATAAAGATCCTAAATGTTAACCTGGGTCGACAGGGTAGAGAAGGCTGGCAGGACAACACAGGGAAACAAGCAAGACAGTGGAAATCATTTGCTTCTCAGAAGCTCCATCAGGTTTCCTCAAACTGTATTGGATTCTTAGGAACCCTCTTTTTCCAGAACCCTACTGCAGAAATGCCACTGGAAAGGAGCAGAGGCCATGAAACAGAACCAAACCCTTTGAGTCCCAGGAAACTCAAGCTCAGTTTCCTGAAATCTATTTGAATTTGAGTTCATAGTTAGGATCTGTCTATACCAGGAGATATTGTCTCAGTGTGGTTAACTTTAATAATTCTAAAGTAAAATTAAGCATTTAAGAGATTTCCTATTGTGATGTAGAAGAACAAAAAAATCGATAGGACACTGAAAGCGACTACAGTAAGACCACCGGTATAGTAGAAAGGATGGGGTTTTTAGAATCAGGCAGAACTTTGTTAGGATCCTGGCTCTTTTTCAAAACTTTGATTCCATTTCTTAACTTCTTTTAGCCTCAATTCCCTCATTTACATATGAAAAAATAATAATATCTGATTTACAGAAATATGAGGATAGAGATAATGCATAAAATACACTTAGTATATAATACTACCTGGCAATACAGCACTTAGTGAATTTTAGCTATGATTATTATTAACTAAAATAGTAGGATATAGCATTGAACAAAGCATGAGGTGTTAAAAAATTATAACTTGATTACTTTCACATTTGGCCCCACCTTGATTCTCAGACTTCTGAGTAAAAAATAAGAAAAAAGTAAACCCACAGATCAAGATGTTTAGGAGATTCTAATAGCTACAAAATGGTAAAAGGCTGCAAATGTAGGATTAGTCTTCTAGAGTATATTTGAGTGTAGAAAAGAACATTTTGTACTTTGTCATTACAAAAACCACTACTCAACAATCTAACGAAGGCTTAAATTGTGGCTCTTTTAAGACATAATGTGCAGAGGCTCTTTATTATCTTTTGAAACTCACACATCTCTAGTACATGTTTTCCTTTTGGTATATTTAAGAGTCAAATCATCTAAAATGGATAATGCACTGCTTTATCGCCAAAAATGAGCTTGGTCACTGTGACCAGTAATCTGAGGTAAATTGTTTTTCCATTTATTATACAGGAAGGCATCAGGACATGTTATTTACATGTCTAAAAACTATAATTATTATAGTTACTTTTTACTGTATGTTTTTATCTGGAATTTTGCCTCAGAAAAGCTTAGGTATTATTACCACCTACACACTTTTCTTTCTAGTAGGTCTCATTAAACTTCCTAGAATAGATTCAAATAGGAGATATCTAAATCTTCTCTTTCTGGGTCTTAAAAAAAATAAATTATCTGCATGGCATATAATAAAAAATGAGATAAATAATGTAAAGTGCCTGTCACAGAGCTTGACATGTTATGAATTTCAATAATTGATAGCTCCTGTTGCCTTTATTGCTAAACAAAATAACTGAAAATTGTTAAGCTTAAGCTTCATCTAGTCCTTGTTCCACCTCTATGTAGCTATATTAAGTTAACACCTAATACATTTTTTACTTTCTATCCTTATTTCAAATATGGGACATGTAATTTTATTTCCTGTCTTATAAGAAATAAATGGCTATTTTGAAGAGTTAAAATGCCATATAAAATTCTGAAATTATCATCGTTTTTATAAATGATAAATTCTACTTTTAAAAAATCTCCCTTTATAGAGTAGCGCAAATTTGATTCAGATGTGTTGACTGTCCTTAACAATTCCCTTCCTATAGGTTTGATGAAAGAGTGAAGATAGGGAATATATAAAATGGAGTCACTTTAATCAAGCTGCTGATTATTAACATTATTAAGGTTGAGGCATGAGGAAGCAATTCTATTCTTATCCTAACTTGCTTGGGAACTTAAACTTTTGAACTTTCCAGTCTTGCATCAATGCCTGGATATGTATCAGTTCATTGTGTGTCAAAACCTGGACCTACACCAGACCTCCAGGTAACCCTCTGACTCCTCCCTAAAGGACTCACATATCCAGACTATGTGATATCCATCTAACATCCATTATCCAGAACACCAGACGTGACCAGATCTCCTGGTACCCATCTTCCAGACCACCAGTCATTCATCATCCAGACCACTTGACATCTGACTGATAACTGTCCTGGACGAATCCCAGGTCTACAAATGCAGGACTGATAATTCTCATAATGCATTTTTTACTCTAAGAACTGTTAATTTCTCTTTCTTCTTTGGAACACTTCTGGGTTTTGCCTAGCTGTGTTTCCATTTTGCAAACCCTAAGATCCTTGATTAAATCTTTAACATTTATTTCTAATTAAAGCCTCCAGACCCTGAGTTTGTTAAGCAGATGACATGCTTCTAAAGTTAAATCTATTCCCATGATTCAAAAGATGTTTTCAGGTTAAAT